AAGCGGGGGTTGCGCGAGTTTCGTTTTGATGATCCCGTCGTGACCAGGCAGAACGAGGGCAGCAGCAGCAGCATCGCCTTCTCTATTTATAGCCGCGTGTCCACAGCAGAGGGGCGCGTGCTGGCGTGCTCCGTGTGTTTACAGAATTGGAGCGGTTCGAGTAGCAGCAGTGGTTAATGCACTGCGATACAAACCCCGGTGACCCGAGCTTTGAGTCGCGGTCACGGCGAACGTCGGTGACGTAGGAGGACAATCAGAACTGATCTTGGACCTCTCCCAGGTTGACTCAGCCTGAAATTAATCACTTGGTGCCGTGTGTAAAACGTCGTCATCGGGGAATCAAAGACGGTCCGGTGAGGTGCTGGCCACCCACCCCCTCGTGTGCCGTGCCAGCATTAATAGGTGCTCACTAACACACCAATCTATCGTGCTATATAGGGGATATTTCATCTGTTAAAAACATACACATATATTCACACGTGTGTTCACTGTGTCGTGATTAATTCACTGCACTACGACCCTGGTGACCCGAGTTCCACATCGGTCCGGAGCCTCCCCCAGATCGACTCGGCCTTGAATGAGCACCTTGTGCGGTGTGTTGACATTAGCACTGGGAAGACAAAGGCGGCCGGGCGGGCGGGCGTGGTGCCGGCCACCAATTCCCGTGCGACGTTTTGGCTTTCAGAGCGGGGGGCTCGCTTCCAGCACTTGCCCCAAGTCTGTTTAAGGCTATACGGGGTAATGCCTCTTGTGATTAATTTACATCACGTAGCTCTGTTTCCAAGCCACATTTCGACTTAAAGTTGAATGACGAGAGCCAATTAGAACCGTTCCCCCTTGTTCCCTCTTGTGAGTCGGGCTGTGCTGCTGCCTCACGCCCAGGCATTGGCGAGTTGCGCGTTTGCAAGAGGCACGCATTCCAGCTCTCGATGTGGAATCGCAGCGCTGTCGTGCCTTCATCCATTCCCATGGCATTTAAAATAAGGCACCAGAACGCACGAGGCACCTTTCCCTCGACGCGACGGTGCCCTCAGTGATTGAGATTGAACGCGAACGTAAATCTGAGCTACGCGCGCACAATGAGCGCGGCACGTTTCTTCGCTCTAAACAAGTGGCTGGACTGTCGTCCTTCAGCGGTGGACATTCCACATTAGCATGGCACAGAACCAGTGGTGGTAGATACCGTGCACGCAGGCGGTGCGACTGCACCGGGACCCACATGGAGTGGTCCGTGCAGGTGGTGAAATTTGCCGCGAGGCTCGCAAAATTATTTCTCGCTGGCTTCCTTGTCCCTTGGATGCTCCTCGTTACCGAGCAAAGCATGATGGTGATGGGGGCTGACTCAAGTGGTCTCGGGTGGGATTAGAACTCACGCTTTCACCGTTAAGAGCCCTGGACTTCGGACAGCTGATCCGAACATGGCGTATATTCTGCACCAGGCCTGATCCGAACTAGGTCGATGTTGTTCAAACAGCTGACAAAGACGCCCTGGTCAGGTCCTGGCTCTGAAACACCACCGCCGTCCACTCCCGCACGGGGCAGGTTCTGTTCGTCTCTCCCACGTGACCCCAGGCCAGAGCTCGGGACCGAGGCCGTGCCTCGAAGTTGTCTCTCCTCCCCGAGTCTCTTTACGAGTGGGCGTTTTACAAGAACAAACAGCACCCACTGTAACCTCGGCTGTATACACAGATACACATCCTTCTTTTAGCTTTATAGACCACGCAGAGGCTGTTAGCGAGCACCTACAGCATCATTGGCAAGTGGTATATATATAATGAGCTCAGCCGTAAAGGCGCAAACTAGTGCTGTGTGTAGAACGTCAGAAATGGAGAGACAAAGAGGGCCGGTCATTGTGTCGTCCACACACCCATACCCTCGCGTGCTCCTGTGTTGGACTCCATGCGTATGGCGACACAACAGGCTGGTGCCAGAAAGATGTGGTCACTGCTGGGGCATATTGGCACAAGACAGAAAAGTGGAAACAAATTACGAAATGTGCAGTGGTCACCTACGGGATATCTGCCCATGGATCGTGATGATGATGCAGGAGGTGGAGGGGGCTTGTGCCCCCCCCCCCCCCATAATGAACAGATGAACAGCTGTACCCCCGTGTGCCCCCTCCTCCACTCGAGGTGGCTGTAAAGACGCTCAAGTTAAACAAGATCAGTCGGAACAATGCTGTAAATTCCCCAGTTCCTGGCCATCATGATCCTACTTCTGCCAAATAATCCCACAGCGGTTGCACAGGCCTGACCCTCAAGATCTGCTCTGAAACTCTCATCCCACTCGCGGAGTGATTCAATGAGGCAGCGATTATGGGTGCCCCCCCCCCAAGTATTCGATGGTGCCCCCTAAGTGCCCCCCTCCTTGTCACAGTGCTGTGGAACCGCCACTGGAAGTCGGTGGTGTAAATCGCCGTGATAAACCTTCACTGAGCTCACGGCCTCCGCAGCGTGGGAGGGAGGGAAAAAAAAGAGAGGAGATAAGGGCGACGGACCCCAACATCTTCAGGGGCTGGTCAACGTGCTCTTCGGCTACGCCAAGCTCGCCATATACAGGGCGAGGAAGGTAGTCCGTGCTCTGGTCGGTGCCAGGGTGTGTGGGCTGGAGTTCCGCCACGCGCGGCTGACCCACGCCGTGCCGGCCTTCAAGGAGCAGTGGACACTGGAGGAGGCCGTGTGCTCGGTGGCAGATGACGGTGGAGAGCTCTGCATGCAGATCTAAGCTACCCGTCGGAGGCCGTTTGACTGTGGGAAGGGCTGCGTGCAGATGCAGCACTTGTCGTAGTTAAAACACATTTGTTGGGTCTTTCATTTAAAAGGGGGGGGGGGGTTACATAAAGCAAAGCATTAAAAAAAACGAAATGATGAACGAAGCAAAGTGCCGACTACACCGAGCATCTTCTTGTTTCCTCTGATCGTAAAAAAGAGAGGAGAGAGAGGAGGGAGGGGAGAGGAGGGAGGGGAGAGAAGGCAAGCATTCCGAGGCCCCGCGGTCATCACCGCAAGGTGCAGACACGAGACGTCGTCACTCGGCTTTCCGACTCCGATAATCTGGGAACAATGATCACGACTCTCCTTTCTTAACCACACCACCGGCGTGGCGCTGCCTTGTTGAGTGCCCGCATGTTTGTTGGAGGTGCCCCACGTCTCTCGCCAGTGTCAACGCACGTGTGCGTGGTCCTCCAGGTGAGACCTCTGGTCTCAATGCAACAACTTCACAGCAGAAAACAAAACCCCCAAGGCAGCACGTCGCAGCGTGCCAACAGATCCCTGCGATGATGTGCGTCGCTTGGTTGATTTACACAATACAGGTGTGTGTGTGTGGTTTTTATGAGCCCTGGAATCGGGGAAAGCCTCACGTGTTACATTGACTTGCCTTGCTCTCTCATAGACGCTGGGTGTGTTTTGAGTGCATATAAAGTTTACGAGCACGGATGAACAGATGTATCCCACGGAAGACCCGGAATGCTGTATAGTCGATGATGTGGTGGCGAGATGATGGATTAAAATCAGTTCCGAAGGTCGTTTGATAACTTTATAACCAATGCATCGGATCGAATGATTAAGCATTGATGGTCCAGCATTGCATGAAATTCGTAGTTCACTTGCCGCTGTCAGCCACTGGAGGCGCTACACTCACCACATTGTCACAGCAAGGCGACTGATTCTTGAGTCGAGACCCAAAATCGTGACTCAACTTCCAATCGCAAGGCAAGCCGGCTAATAGTGACACGCCTTGTACATATACACACACAGTCTACTGTATTTAAATGCAACATAACTTAGTACGCCGTTAATAAAAGTACAGTATATGTATTTACAGAAAACGGGGTTAATAGAAAAAATCGTCTTTCGGTGACTATCGGGACTCAACGAGGTTTTCGTGGATGAAGGCGACATCGTGAGAGTGATCACCGTGCTCAGAGGCGGCGTGACACGGCAGTCAACAACAGCAGCGCCCACCTGAAGCCCAAGAACCCCCCCCTATAACCCCCCCTCACCCCCCATCACACCCCCCATCACACCCCTCACACAACCCCATCACCCCCCATCACACCCCCTCACCCCCCATCACACCCCCTCACCCCCCATCACACCCCCCATCACCCCCCATCACCCCCCATCACACCCATCACACCCCCCCATCACACCCATCACACCCCCCATCACACCCATCACACCCCCCTCACCCCCCCATCACCCTCCCCAATCACCCCCCTCACACCCATCACACCCCTCACACACCCCCTCACCCCCATCACACCCCCCATCACCCCCCATCACACCCCCTCACCCCCCATCACACCCCCTCACCCCCCATCACACCCCCCATCACACCCTTCACACCCCCCTCACCCCCCATCACACCCCCCATCACCCCCATCACACCCCCTCACCCCCCATCACACCCCCTCACCCCCCATCACCCCCCATCCCCCCCCCCCATCACCCCCCATCACAACCCCCCAATCACCCCCTCACCCCCCTCACACCCCCCCATCACCCCCCTCACACCCCATCACACCCCTCACCACCCCCCATCACCCCCCTCACCCCCCTCACACCCCCCCATCACCCCGCCTCACACCCGCTCACCCCCCAGCAGCAGCCAACGCGAAGGGTGGGGGGGGGTCTCCTCCTCGCGTTTGATTGACATACAAGCTGGGCGTGCCGTCGCCAATCAAAACGAATGGGGATGGGCGTGGTCACAGGCACCTCCCCTCCAATAGCGTCGCGGGATCTGTTTGATTGAAAGGTCGCGACCGGCGAGTATCTCGCGGGTCCAGGGGCCGACGAGGAGGGTGGGGGGGGGCGTGTCCCCGGCGGCGCGGTGACGTCACGGCGGGTATTGGCGGGACGGAGAGCGCTCGCGGGCGGCAGTCGCGCGCGGCTCGCGACGGGGACAGCGGCGCGTGTGCGCGTGCGCCCTCACCCTCCACCCCGCCCCTCCCCCCTGCACGCGCGAGCCCCCCCCAACCCCCCCCCCCACCCCCCGACGACCAAACCCTCTCCACATTACCCCCACCAAACCAAGAGGACCCATTCCCCCCTACCCCCCCCCCCCCCTCAGCGAAGATGTGAATCGAGCAGGGAGCCGTCAAACTTAATCGGCGCTCACTCAACTCGATTCGCTCGCGAGGACGAGGGAGAAGAGCTCCGGACTCGGTGGCGTCGCCTGCTCTGCAGTGCCACACCGGGCGGCGCGGCTCCTCAACGCCTACCGCGGATTTCCGTTAGGATGGCGACGGTTTGAAGCGGAGCGCCGCGGGCTGCGGGACATTTAAACTGGAGGTGGGAACGGTTGCAGTGGTACATTCCAAGGCGCGCGTAACATTGTCGTTATCATAATTCTCCACGTTGTTATTCTTACTGTGCCATAATCACGATTACATCCAATGCATTATTTGAATAAAATTATGTTTATTTTTGCGTCCGTTTCAAGATGATAGTTTTGTCGCTGTTATTGCTGCTTGAAATGCCATCCCCCCCCCCCCACTGGTGAAATGGACTCGTCCACGACGACAAAAGCCCTGTGTCGTGAATCTGACGAGTTACGAGCAACGTAAAATATCTTTTGAATTGTTCATTTGAGGCATTATATTTACATGGAACGATATTGTGCGAGAAACGTGCCGAGAGATAGCGTGTTGATGCCCGTGTGTCGTCTCTGAATGGAATTTCCAGGCGGCTATGCGCGTGTGTGTTGCTGAGCATCTTGTCACTGAAGCCACATGTCACGAAATTCTATGACGGTTACTAATATGACATAGTAATGATAATGTTACAAATTACCTCGCTGGGAGATAGAGCCAACGGCAGGACCGTGGCTTGTTTCAACACAACAAAAATCCCCTCTTCGGAAACACTTTTTCAGTCGTGAACACCCAGTGGCAAGTTCTGCAGCATCAAAATAAAGATCGAATCGTGTGTGTTTGTGTGTATATATGTACGTGTGTTATTGGGCAGTAATTTACAACATAGTCACGATAGCATCAGCGAGTCTCAGGGCCCATTTTTCGGGGGATTCTACTTGGGATATTTGGCCAGTTTCCTTACTGCGAATTCTGCTGATAAACGCGTGGAGGAATACGAGGAGATAACAAGTAGACAAGTCCACCCACACCAGGTGGTCATCAACCTGCTTGCTGTACTGTCATTTAGTTTCAGCTCGTAGCCCTGCAGTTTCGGTGTAAAACGCACATGTAGCCAACTTGCCGTGACCCACCAATCCCACCACCAACGTACTTAGAAGCGAACTGGATTGTATTTTGAAGGGAAACCTGAGCTAAGCATTGGGTGGTACACATGGGTTTGTAGGCCACCGTCTGAGAGCCAGAAAGCTCTGCCAGCCCCGACTTAACCTCCCAAGACACCTTTTGGTTTGGCTCCCATTGACAATAAAAATAACCATAATAATACACTGCTCAACAATACTAAGGGTCTTCTGGGATACTGTACTTAAGTGTGTGTTTAATAAGGATATGTCTGTTAGAACAATATCTAAAACTGCGTGTATGTTAACACTAACATACCAGTATGTATGTTGAATTTCTTTCGCACCGTGTGGAGCCAACTGCTAAGCCATGGTGCGTGGTAGTTTACTGTGTAGTACGTACGTAGTGGGATTTTTTTGGTCTGGCCTCAGGCTGACGAAGTAGGTTTTTTTAAAATCAAGGTATGGTTGTACAGTGACTTCTTGTTTGACTAAAGGGACATCAGTAATGGGGAGGTTGTAGTGGTCAGCAAGTGTTGACCTTACGGCTCATACCTCGAAGTCTTCCAGTAGTCTAAACAGTCCAGTGAAGGAAGTGTGGTGGGCTTTTACACGTGCTTTGTGTGATGGTTTACGATTGCTTTTCATGTTTAAACGTTTACAAAACATGCCAGCAACAAACTGAAATTAACTGTTTTTCTTCATACCGTGACTTAAGCCTCCCCATTAAATCACTTTACAACTCTTTCACAGTCAAACCATAGAAACTTTCACTATCACAACAGTGACGACCGTCACTGTTGGCATTTATTTGGGAAAAGTTAAAATTAAACCCCCCTCGCAATGCCTGCCTTCAAAAGAGGGGGCCCCGTGTGTGTACTGGGCCACGCTTTCCATGAGGTCAAGTCCAGCAGCTGTTGCACTTTAGAGACTTCGGGGCGGGGTGACCTTTAGCCGCGCTAACCGGCAGACTGGGGAGCCCGACGAGAAGGGGCGGTCGCCAACAGGGGCCCGTCAACACCATCTCCCTGCACACACGTGGCCTCCCTACGATTGCGCTAATTTATTTCCTCGCAATAATTTATGCCAGCGCAGCCCCTTTGGGCCGCCTCTCTGAAGAGGAGCCTCTCATTCTTCCTCTCGGGAAAACTTGACGTCGGACGAGCCAGGGCCCCACTTGTTTGCCGCTCTGCAAACGCAAATGTCAAGGCCCTCCGTGTTGAACTGTGCGTGCGACGCGAGGTTTGCCTGTTTCGAGAGGTGGGAGTGCTGCACGCAGCCAAGCAAGATGCAGCCCCCCTCTCCCACGCTCCCACAACTCCATTCATGAATTCACGACGAGGAGGTTCGCGTCCCGTGTCACGAGCGGCGACATGAGCGCTCGCTTGAATAGTGAAGACGTTGCACGTTTTACGCCGCACGCTGTAGCTGGTTCATAACTCCCGGTACCTCAAATCCTCTACACCAGTCCTCAACATTTTTTTTTATCCAGAGCAAGTGTCAGTGTTGTGCAAAATGGGTGATGTATGGGCAGATCACTCGGTAATGTGCTTAATTGTGTGGGATCTTGGAAGCTAAGTAGGGTTGTTTCAGGATAGTGGTGGGATGGGTGAACACCATGCATAGGCTGCTGTGCAGTGGGCAGCAGACGGCAGTGCAAAAAATATATGTCCTGTTCTTCTATGCTCCCACGTCCGTGTTCCCTGCTTTCAACTCGCAGGATGGTAGGGTATGATCAAATAACCCTTGTGACCCACGTGACAAGGGGAGGACCTCGACCGGCAGTTGATTCATAAAAGGGCTGCCATGTACATACTTGTTTGTTAAATGGAAAACATGAACGTATGAGTTACGGGTGGCTTCCAGATACTGGTATTAAAGATCTTTTTCAACATATTTTATGCATGCTTTACATTCGTTCATTTCCAGTTACCACTGTTTGTGTTTAAATCACTACTGTTTTTAATTACCGTTTTTGTATTACGCAGTTCCAATGAGCGTGGTTGGATACGTACTCTGTGAAATAATTTTCACATATATACATGATTACACGTTAACATTTTGTTCTTAGCACACAAGACGTCGGCTGACTGGGTTGGACCACAGGGTTGTAGTGCACCAACGTGTTGAGTGACCTCTATTTTGGGAATGTGGGGTAAGTTGCAAGGGTAAATTTGGCAATGACACCGGCGCGTAGAGACTTACACGTGCGAAGATCGTCGTGGTGCCTTTTTACAGGCATCACAGTTGGCTTAATGCACCCTCTGAGGACGGGTCCCTTTGGACTCAAGCAGCGAGCGCTGTGCTTGCCAGTGAGCCCTCCGCGATGGTGGAGGCTGCAACTCTGGCACAGACACCGAGATTGTTTGAAGCCATCCTACCAGCTCCATCGGTCTGCAAATTGCGACATGCGAGAGTGAATTTCTGGGCAGTTAATAAAAATGACATACGTGTCTAAAACTGAACTTTTTAAATGGCACGTTCCGTTTAGAAACAAAAGCAAAATAAAGGATCACATCAATATTTTCTGTATATTATAACAAATAGTGAACACTCATGAAAGCATTTGGCCTGGTATTCGTTGGCAATCGGAATCCAGCATCGAGTTCTCAAAACGTGTTGACTGTTCCTCGTGACGACGCTGCGTGCCACCCTGCCCCGTGACGTCACGAAGAGGTGAATATCTCTCCCCGTGACGATCGGGCAGCGTTGGCGGCACGCCCATTGTGAGCACATTGTGACAGAGCTTTACTTATTTATTTATTACGTTTTCACGCGACCACACGGCTCTAACTTGCTCAGCATACCAAAAATAGTTTTGAAGACAAAGCGATCACGCTTTCACGATAAAAAATATTGAACGGTTATGATTTTTTTAAATGATTTTGCCTATCCAGTTTTTCATGATTTCTAGTCTGCCTGGTTGATATGTAAATTTACACTGAAAACTTTCGTGACTGCAGGAATGCATATTCTTGGTTATTTCGCTAAAGTCACGTAGATAGAAAAAACATCAAAACATTAAATTTTATGAAATAAATTAAAAATGTACAATACAATTAAAATAAAAAAGAATACATCGATTTTTTAAAATTCTATCTACGTGACTTTACCGAAAGAAACAAGAATATGATATGTAAATTGTATTCAATGTGTTGCATGCATCTGTTGAGGTAGTATGTCAACCCAACTAAGAGTGAGGTTAATTTAAAACGTAGGTTTTCTAGCAAGTGCAGTGATTCATATTTGTCTTTGGATTAGGCCGCGTTGAGGTGTATTGTTCAGATATTTACTAACCTCAGGCATGCTATAGCCACGGAGACTATGTAATTATAAATACATGGTACTATAGTGATGTCAGGAAGAGGAATACTGTATCTTGTGAAAGGACGATATTTTAAGATTGCCAGCAATTATTATTGTTACTTGCAAACTGCTGACAGAGGGTCAAGACAAATTTTTGAACCAAATCCCTATCATTAACGCAAATCTCAACATGCTAAGCAATTGACAACTTAAAACATTCCGTTGTTAGCTAGACTTGGGGCTAATGCCCTGGATTGTGCTGACAGTCCTATACACTCTTGAGGGCTGAGTTTAATGTTTACTTTGTTTTAAGTGTATTGTTTAGATCACAGTTAAATGTAGGATTAAGGTGTACGTTGTTGTGATGGATATCATCAGGAATAATATCAGAAATTCAATTAGGGCTAGGGTTGGTACTTACTTTCAGGTTAGGGTGAGAGTAGTTGTTAGGGTGAGAGTAGTTGCTAGGGTGAGAGTAGTTGCTAGGGTGAGAGTAGTTGCTAGGTTGAGAGTAGTTGTTAGGGTGAGAGTAGTTGTTAGGGTGAGAGTAGTTGCTAGGGTGAGACTAGTTGTTAGGGTGAGAGTAGTTGTTAGGGTGAGAGTAGTTGCTAGGGTGAGAGTAGTTGTTAGGGTGAGAGTAGTTACTAGGGTGAGAGTAGTTGCTAGGGTGAGAGTAGTTGTTAGGGTGAGAGTAGTTGCTAGGGTGAGAGTAGTTGTTAGGGTGAGAGTAGTTGCTAGGGTGAGAGTAGTTGTTAGGGTGAGAGTAGTTGCT